CACCCGATATATATGTATATAGTATGTGCACCCTAATATTGTATGCCATGTAACTGGTTAACAGTTCATTGGCGCAATCAAAATGTGTTTGTTTGCGAATTATTATTGCTCATTTGCCACGTGTTGCATGTGCTCAGCATGCAAACTTGGTTGCAACAAACTCTTGTGGGTATTCACATTGAGAGCGAAACGAGATCGCGAACGGCATAAAATATGATGAAAAGGATCCTTAACTTCGAAGTTTCAAGATCCTGTGAGTGGCGTAAATAGAAGTGATATTGCATATGGACCATAACCTACTCCTCCATATTTAGCCAAATAAATTTTATTTTCCAAAATACAGCAAAATCTGTGTTTATCATATATTGAAGAGAACATTGGCAACAAAGTAATACTTTCACTGAATTTTTGGACTCGAACATACAATTAAATTCAGGCCAGAGTGCCAAATTGCAGCTACAGTTGTATGACTATACCCAATTCCTATCCCTCTTGCGTTCGCGCCGCATACACTGAAAAAGTGAGTAATCCTTGTGTAAGATGCGATAGTCAACACGTGTGGAGCCTGGGGACACGACTAAAAGAAAGAAAGCTTCAGCGGAGCCACTCCGACACATTCGTTTAAGGGTTCGCTGAAGTATAATTGAATCGTCGTTTCACCATAGTTGTGTCTGCAAGTGGACATCGGTCTTGAAATAAGCGGCTCACCTAACGAGGTTGTTTGCTGGGTTAGGCACCCACCACGTAGAAACCACTCCCAACGAAGAGAAAACAACAGCACGGATATGACTTCTTCAACCTATTGCTGGAGGAAATAATACGGGCTGCAGAGATGAATAGAAATTTTACAATCTTTCATAAGACTGTATAGCTGTTGGCCTTGAACTTTTTATAACTTTGAAATCATAGATAATTTCGTCTATCTTGGAAAAATCATCAACGTAAACAACAATATCAAATTTGAAATCGATCGCAAAATCACTCTTGCCAACAGGTGCTGCAAACTCTACAAATACCTTATCATTCTCGTCCTGTTGTATGGGGCGTGGACAATCGTAGCATCTAATGAGTCGTTCTTAGGAATGTTCGAAATAAAGTATTGGCAACGTACTTTGAAGGTTTTCCGTTCACTCCACTCCGTTGAAGAGATCAGCTGGACAAGGACCTGACTGCACTTGGTATCTCGAATTGGCGCCAAATAGCGCAAAAAAGAAACAAATGGCGCACTGTTTTTAACGCGGCTACAACCGGTTAAGAAGAAGAATAGCCCATTTGAAACAATTCAATGGAAATTCAGCATTGTCGCTGAACAAAATTCTCTGATGTAAATCAAGATCGGTAGCCATCTCGCTTGGGGCTGATTTACGGAACTTCCGACGGGCTTCGGCTCAATTCTTGCACGAGAATCTATCATAAAGTGGATGGACACAAATCCAGTTGTTGCGCGCGATGGCGGATGAAGTCATTCGAGCCTTCAGCAGCAATGGGGTCTTCGGAACGTTGTACGATGGCAGTAAAATGCTTAATTTCTAGGTTATCTACGAATAACTTTGTGAGTCGATCCATCAGGAATCTTTACTTACTAAAACCTAAAACTCGCTGATCCAAACAGGGTTAGATCGCGGAAACCTCAATTCTTGACCGGTTAAAATCCAGCCACGTAGAACCGGCTATCTTAGGAATCCTGTCGAAATACTACTGAACTTAACAGACTCGTATAAAGCAAATTATAACGATTACACAATTCTCACTAAATTCTGAGCTCAAATACTATACTCAAAATATAGCAACTATACAAAAAACGTTACAGCTGTATATGCCAGCTTTCTTTCATATTTTGAGAAAAGCTGTCAAGTCGAATGTGTATCGCCCGATTGCCAATGGAACGCTTTCCGAGCTTCTCTCAAACAGAAATCTTTGGATACAGATAAAACGGCACTAGCAGCAGGAATGCGCTACGCTAAGCCACTACTGGGAGGTTACAACTGGCAAGGTTTCGACATATGATCAACCTCCCCGAAGACAAATTCCGTCTCTTTGTCGCGCTGCATGCAGGGCACCACATGTTCAGGAAGGTCTAGTCCAACATGGATATAATCTCTTGCCCAAACTGCCGGTTTTGCGACTGTTCAAAACTCCAGAACACCTGATTCTAGATTGCCCAGCAATATGTAGAAGCAGGCTCAATGCTTTAGATTCCCTTAACGTGTATAGGGATCACATAACCTTAATCACGCCCAGCATGCTCCAGAAATTAATCGGAGGGCTGGACCTTTGTGACCATATGTGGTATAGAAGAGAGCACAATGACCATAGGTCAGAGATAATCCCGTTTAGGTAGATCCGACTGGCGTGGGAGCCCAAAATTGTCGTGTTAATGGGTAGTTGTTTTTATTCTTGTTTTATTACTACATGTTTCACTAGCCATATATTTTTTAAAGAAATGCCACAAGTTAACTGTGTTTTCACTGGAAGAGACGGCCCTAGCTCAGGAAGAACACAACATTTTGCATCGCAATTCTATTGGATTATAGTATTTTCTACAAAAGCTTGTTTCGATGTCTGGTCAAAAGCTATCGGTATTCATGACATGAGTGGTATATCCAATGCGATTCCAAAAACACTTTTTTAGCTTATAATTTCCTCCATATGGCATTTGCACTGAATAGATAGGTGGATGATCCGATAATTACAAAGAACACTCTGGCGCAGTTAAACATTGTTGCAATTAAATGGATTAATAGCAAGACAAGCACGCTAACAACAACCACAGCAGGGCACAAAATATTGTTGCCAAACACGAAACAAAGCAAACTATTGCGAATCGCTAATAAAAACTTTGCAATAAAAAACGAACATGAAGAGTTGTACAGAATAATGCAATAATTAGACACCGAAACAACAAAAGCAAAAGCAAAAGCAAGCGAGTCATGAAAGYTTGCAAGCTGAAGAGAAAAACTACACAAATGTGCATACATACATACATAAGTATGTATATTTTATATAATAAGTGGTTCATAAATACCTATTATGTGGAATAAACGATACTTAGTGAAGGGCAAATTGTTTGTAGCATCAAACAGCAATTAAAATCAATATGAGTGAACAGAAGAAACTAAGTATGAAAGAATTTTGAATTTTCTGTGCGATAATAAGCTACCACTCGAAAGAGAAAACATATACACATACATATGTATACACACACATAGGTACGCACAATTAATAAATTCACCACTAACAGCCAAACTATACCAAAAATATGTGACAATTAATGGTTTTGAAGTCCGCAAAGGCACACATACATGCATTCATATATAGGTAAGTATATGTATATACCTATACACTCACACATACATATATAGTATCAGTTGTGAGGAAATTTATTACAACAGTTTTCTCATAAATGCCTAATTAAAATGTCATTGCTAAATGAAGTGTAACAGTTTGTGTATTGCCGCATGAAGAAAAGGACCACAAACTGTGCTGTATGACACTGTAGACCAGGCGCTTTGCCGCTTTTTAAGAAGATTGTTAGTTACGACGATTATTTTCAAACGGTTTTTCAAGAATTTTTTCGCTGAAACCTTGGAATTGTGTATTTACGTTATTTAACAACGGTTTTAGTAACGGTTCACACACCTGGGGAAGGTATAAACAAAAAACGCTAATTTGCATGCACCATTTGAAACTTAGTTAAAAAAATCCTGTAACTTGTAATTAAGAAAACTAGAAATATATGCACTTATAGATGCCGCTGAAATGTCACACTCGGCCTCCACGCTTCGCTAAAACACATGGAAGACAAGGAACAAGGAAAAGGGGGATGAACGCAGTAATCACAAACACATTGTGGCCATTCACTTCCTTCGAGAATCAATGCGTTCGATCGTTTTCGGTTGCCTGCGCTGGTGCTGCCTATGAATTTCACTTATCCACTTACAATTCTGTACTATATATGTATGTGTACTTGTATGTATTTTTTTTATTTTAAACACCACTTAAAACAATTCGTACATGTGAAGCATGTATTTACTGTGTGCATTCCCGAAATGAAAAGAGCGACCCCCTACTGATGAGAGATTTACAGCAAAACACAAACAAAGTGGCCGTACACAGGAGAGGTCGCAACATGTGACAATTTGAGAAAATCCTTAAAACAACAACGTAATGTGAAGGCAACAAGCGGATTTGTCACTTTAAAACGACAATTAAAAAAAATCAAAAAATATAAAATAAAACTGCAAAACGATATTGATAAATCGTTCCTTTTAAATAAAAAAGTGAGTGAATGAAGTAGAAAAAAATTAAAAACTACATTAGTGGTATGGACAACTATTTAAAAAAATATCGTCGTGAATGTTGTTTTTGTTATTGTAGCACAAAATATTTTCAAAGTAAGATATACTGACTGCTTCACAGGCCCTGACTGTCGATTCATGTACTTATCCAGAATCGACCCCAAAATACCAAATAAATGTATGTATGTATGTGCAGCATGTAACGAGTGCCCGCATGACTCTAACCACAGCTTTGCATACCCCACACATCTGACATTCCTATCCCTACAGCATGTTTCCTAGGCCTACCGTTGGATGGCCTAGATGACAACTTATCTGAACCTTACCACCCTAACTAGGATTAGATAACCATTACAACAACAGCAAGTCCGCGCATTACACAAATATTCTGACCCGATAGTGAGATTCAAAAAAACTTAAGAATTAGTTTGGTAAAACATATAAAATGCAACGATTTTGCATTCGGTATATCAAGTTTTCGCCTTTATCTACTGTGATTTCCAAAAACTATATACAACCAAACATTCTAACCATACATTACTTTAATGTTGGATACATTGGATACATGCCTATCGAGAAAAGTAAACGCATTGTGGACAAAGGACAATAAAATGTATAATTAACGGCAATAGGAAATGTCTATTCAAATGAAAAAAAGGAGTGAGGGAGCAAATTACAAATTACCTTAATTTAACTGCTTACCTTTCACATTCCATGTTTACGAACTCAAACGTGGAGCGAATGCTAACCACATTCGTTGAAACTCATCTTCGAAATGTTCCAACAACACTTTATTGGAACTGATTACAATATTTTCCCAATTGCCACCAAAACCCTGAAAAATCATTACAAAATAATTAGTCAATTATACTGTCTTTTAATAACCTTATATTCACCTGCATGGTCCAATTGAGTGAGCCGGACATAAGAACCCCTTTTACATTACGTAAATCATCTGTTTTGCCGATATTGCCCAAAACCGAACGCGCACGTTTCGGTCCGTCTAGCAGGCAAAATTTATGATGCATTAGCATTGTGGTCATTGGACAACGAACCGCCACGCCTAAAAGTAGATTGGTATGAAATATTAAATGGATTTAGATTAAATAATTTAATTAAATAATAATTAAAAATTAATAAATTAAAAAAAAAAAAAAATTATAAAGTCATAGGCAAAGGTCTCAACAGATTTTTGAAAACTACATATTTGTACATACATAGGGCAAAAATACATCTAAAATTGGAACAAACTTTCCACGCTATTAAATTTTTGAAAAACCACATATATTTTACATGATACATAATCCATTATCTAAATATATTGAGAAAAGTATTGTCAAATTAAAAGTCGCCAAATTAAAATAATTGTTTTTTATTGTGTCGCACTTTCTTATCGATATACGAAGCTAATATAACCAAACTGAGCTAACACAATTTCCGTTTCCTATATAAACCCTAAAAGTATGCACTGTTTTTTTAACTTTACTTTTGCCGACATGGCAAAGCAGTGCCAAATGTTAAAGTGCCACCGATTCTATCAAAGAACCAAGACCAATTTTACTGTTTTATACAAATTTAAAATTTTTTAATTTTTATTTAAAAAATATAAAATATTTTTTCCAATTAGATGGGCACTATACTAACTCTTTTTTCTCTGTCTTCATTTATGCGAACAAGCACCTGTTACTTGTAATTAAAGCAGATAGATTACGGTGGCACAATATGATTTCTGCACTTGACAACAAGGCATTGCCGCAATATTGCAAAAATCTTCTTGAAAGCACAAAATTAATAAATTTGTACAAATTAGCAATTTACAAAAGCGACAAATGAAAAGCAGTAAAGCATGAAAATGTGGCTGCTTTATGCGAGCGAAAATTTTACCACGAAGTGCACGTGGTTCAATCGTTTGCATAAAGAAATAAGACCACAACGTCCGTACATACGACGCAACTGAGATGCCTCAAAGAACATCAATACGTTTGCGCGAATCCATAGCATTTGTTATTGTACTTGTCGTGCCGTTTGCCAGATAGCAAGTGCAAACTTATTTTGATGGAGAGAGAGAAAATGTTATTAATTGCATTTATACAGAAAGTTGCCACAATGAAGGGACAAGAAATACCTGTAAAAGTATGTGATTTAAATCCATACAAATACGCTGTGGACGTTCGTCAAAAATCCAATTAAAGTCTAGAACCATTTCAAATTATATATATGCATATGTACAAATGTACATATATTTCGATAAAATAGTTCAAAATGTGTATTCGTGTAAGCCGCAGCGTACATACGATTGCATTCGTACAAATGCACACACATATATGACATCATCAGCTGATTTGCAATTTTGCACGTTCATAACTAATATGTAGAAATATAAAGCATATCACGTTTAAAAAGGTATATATTACTAGAAATACACTTTACTAACCTGCCTTCGTTAGCGTTATAATCTGAGATCCACTGGAGTACACCATTTCTTTGTCACTTATTATGCGCACTGAAACTCCTCGGCGAATGGCACGCATAAATGCTTGAGATAGATCATAGGATGTAAATGTATACATTGCTAGATCAATGGTATATTTTGATTTATCAATTAACGCTATTAAACGACCGACATTATTGGCAGCACAATACCGATTTTGACATGAAGGACTCAGATTTGGAGTAGGTAATTTCGTAACATGTCCATTTTCAACCATTCCCTTCGCAGGACTTTCGTATGTGGGGCTCTTACGTTCTGCTGGTGATTTTAGTATGTGACCACCAGCACAGCTTTGTGTCAGCTCATTCGTCCAGATGACTTCGGCTATTTCGTCATCAGATGCATCGCGACGCCACAAACGTTCGCGCACGTACAAAAAGCCACGATAAAAGATTTCTGACAACAACACTACCGAAATGCCCGTAGTCAGGCTATAAAAAGTGTAGCGCACCACTCGATTCTCCAACATTTTTTTAATAAAACAATATCGAAGATATTTCACTTGCACAATATATTATAAATTTTATTTATGGAATGCACTTTTCACTTAATATTTTTCAATAAAACTCTCACATACACAATATGAAATGACAGAATTGAATTGCTCTGCTTTTGTTGGATTTTGTTGCGCTACAAAAGGGAGGGTGGGGATATTTGATTACCTACAAATTTGTTGTATGCAAAACTGAAGTAACACACAAATTAAAAATTACCGAAAAAATCACTAATTTAACTTTGCTTGCTTTCAGCAATGATTTGCATTTTGAAAACGAATAACCACTAGTAATAAAACTCTTTGAATTTCAACATTTAAAATTGGCCAATTGCAAACCGAAGCAATCAACATGCATGCACTAGCCGGTGTCAGTCGAACAGTACAAAAGCTTTTGTTTCAAATGATTAACACCACTTTTTGGTATATTTATTGTAGTTTAAAACACATTTTAATAAATTTATTTGTTGTTATCGTCAAAAACTTACAATTGCAGCTAAACGGAAATGATGTCAGTTGCAAAAAAATATAGGTTCGCGAGATGCAGCGGTCAAAAATGCACGTGTCGTGAAGGCAAATTGCTGACAGGCAAATCAGCTGTGTTAAAATGAGTAGTGTTGCCAGCTTTACATTTATATTGATTTATTCTTCGCACAATTGGTACAAGGTCGCAACCAATTCTTATTGGAAATTGGTGTAATTGTTGTTGTAATAATTAAAGATGCAGGGACACTAATTATAACAATATTTTGGACTTGACAGGCAAATGCTGTTTTGGCTATGGTACATATTCCAGTTATTCGAAAATGGTTTATCTTAATTTATTCAACAAAACATACGAAGAAAAAAGTTTATCTTGAGTAGATAAATTGCACATTACGGTGATTGTGAAATTGTTTATTTATTTAAATTAAACAAATCATATACTATTTTAGATAATTATCTACGTTTATAAATTGAAAGTAGTAAATCAAACTTATAAGCGTAAGCAAAACTTTAATTCATTTTGATAATCAATTCTCCGTCTGTTATCTATTTCTATTATTATTTATGCATATCTTTCGATTCGTCCTTCGTTTCTAGATATTCATTATTAAGTTCTCTACCGTAACTGATTATAACGAACTTCACCTGTCTTGCGATTTGAGAAAAAGTTACGCAGAATTAAAATCTGGCCAAAGCCAATGACTAAGACAATACACGTCTCAAGACCGGACCACATCATCACAGCTTCATTCAAATCTTCCGCCCTTTTGCGTCCCTTCGATTCACTCAAGCGATGATGTGTTTGAGCATCAAGTATATCATTGAGGCTTTTGTGTATCGACTGTGAGGATGTTTCCATTTGTGTAAGAACAGTGGCATGTTCATCAATACCAGGCAATGCTGGCTCATCTCCCACTTGGAAATCAACATACACAATTTTATGTGAAAATGATGAAAATTGATTGCTAAAACAAACTTTGTAGACCCCAGTTGCCTCAGCGGTAAATTGATGACTATCGAACGTCGCACGCTGTTGCTCGTATATTACTTTGCCATGAGGATTCGTCAAAGTTACATCGACATCCAACTGACCTCCAGCGGATACTTGAAACTCAAGATAGCAGGTGGTATTACGACGTACTTCTTCGAAGAAGCAATCTTCCGAATTGTCCGCTAAATCAAATGTAAACTCCACCGCCTCTCCTGAACGGCACGCAATGCATAGCATAAGTGCCAAATAAGCAATGACATGTCTACATTTTATAGTTGGCGATAGCATTTTCTTTGTAAAAGCTGTTACTCTGAGGCGTTAGTGCAAAAGCTTTGATGAATACGATGATTTCAATGCGGTGCCACGCAATGTAACAGGAGCAAGAGCTGCACCTAAAATATCAGAAAAAACTTCAACTTGTACGGATCGTAATAATTACTATACATGTCTTACTGGTAGAAGAAACAGCAAAAATGGGAATTAAAGTACTATCTTTGGTTTATTATAAACTAATATCGAATATGAGGATTTGTTTGCTTTTACGTTTAACTTTTCTAGTTGTACAAGCGATAGAAATTCTGCTTAAATTGACAGCTGACAACTGACGTGTCAGAATTATTCACAGCGTTACCAGGCAAGTAGAGATTACAATATAGTCATCAAGTACAGACTACGCATTTTTTCTGATTTCTGCTTTTTAGCAACCAAATCGAATAAAAATTTATATATATATATAGCATATTGTACATATATATATATGTTTGCGGTTTAAGTATTTTCTAATGAAATTTAATTTTTCTGAACAACTTCTAAACACGCTTGCTTCGCTGTGGGATACTTAAATTTAAATCCACTTTCCAGAGTTCTCTTAGGTTGAACCTTAGCACCAAATAGAAGTAATGCAGAACGGTCTTTGCCAAAAAGCGCTTGTACTACAAACTCTGGTACTGCGAATAGACAAGGACGTCGTAAAGCGGAAGCAAAGGCCTAAAGACATAAAAAGATGGAAATATGTTAAAGAAAACAAATATATACAAAGTGTAAATAATGACTTCTTTCGCATTAATTTTTGTTTATTTTTTATATGTATATTTACCTTTGAAAATTCGCCATTAGTTACAATTTCGGGTGCCACACCGTTTATTACTCCCTCTATTTTATCATTTTCGATACTGTATTGTACTAGTTGGCATAAATCATATAAATGAATCCAAGGCAGAATTTGCTTTCCACTGCCTAGAGGACCGCCTAAACCCAATTGGAAAGGAAGCCAGATATTCTGAATCATTCCACCTGATCGTCCTATTACAACCCCAGTACGTATTTTAACCTACAAATATTACATAAATTTTTAATTGAACTGTTTATGCATATTATTAAGTCAATTATTTGAAACATTATTATTATTAATAATACTCACGCCCCTACAGTGCTTTACATTCTCTGGTAATGTCGCTGCTTTCTCCCATTCTAAGCATAATTTTGACATAAAATCAAATCCTTCCACTGGATCGCTCTCAGTATAAATATGCTTATCATTAGGTTTATAGTGACTTACTCCTGATACATTCACAAAAGCTTTCACTTGTGGTGCATCCGCAATAGCTTTCACTAATGCTGCACTTGTGTTAACACGAGAAGTCCACACATTTTGTTTAAAACCATCTGTCCAGCGTCGGCTCGGATCTAAGACATTTTGTCCTGCCAAGTTGACAACAGCTGTGATACCATTTGGTATGCCGTTCCGCTCCAGTTCCAACCAGGTTATGCGCTTTAGCCCAGGCATTCGGGATATTACAGTGACATCATAACCATTTTTGACCAAATGTTTGCTTAAACCTTTACCAATGAATCCCGTTCCTCCGCCTAAATAATGTGTCCTTATTTATAAACTGAAAATCTAACATTTTTTGTTACTACAAACCGATTAATGCATGTCGCGACATAATTTACTCTATTCCGATTTTATTCTACAATTTACGTAAATTTACGAAATTCATACAAGACTGAAAATTTCAGTGCCGTAAGCGAATGTTGTGAGCAAAACAAAACGGCCAATAATTGCACTGAGTGCATTTCGCCAAAAATACGGCAATTCTCTATATGGCGGCCACAGGGAAAGTTTTTCATAGCTTCATAATTATATGCTGTTTACAGCATATAAATGTTATTGTATATAATTGTTATGCTTAGTATCTTTAAATAGAAATCAAATATTTTTATTTTATGTTATTAACAGATAATCAATTTAGTGATTCTAAATGAAATTGTTTTTGCATACTAATATATGTATTACATACGGCAACCATGCGAGATGAATACCATACGGCAACTAATCCCCAAAGCTGTCAAATATTTTTGCATTTGCTTCATTTCTAAATTCGGCGCAAACATATTTCGTATTCTCTACAATTTCGTGATCTAAATCTTAATTTTCTTCTTATATTAAATAACTAAAAACTTTGTTCCTGTTGTGAAATGTCTGCTCCGCTAGAAAATCTTGAAACCCAGTTGGAGATGTTTATCGAAAATGTCCGCCAGATTCGCATTATTGTAAGCGACTTCCAGCCACAGGTACGTCAAAGATTACACACTACAGTCTAACATATACACTATATTCAACAATTTTTACTTTTGTTATGTAGGGTCAGAATGTGCTGAACCAAAAGATGTAAGTTATTTTGATTAATCTTACCATCTATAGTACATGAAAGTGTTTTTCTTTGTTTTCTAGTCAAGGTTTAGTGACCGGTCTACAGGAAATCGATAAGCTCAAAAACCAAGTGCAAGATGTTTTCGTCCCATTCGAAGTATTCGATTACATTGATCAGGACAAGAATCCTCAATTATATACAAAAGATTGCGTTGAAAAGGCATTGGCCAAGAACGAGGAAGTTAAAGGCAAAATTGATGCTTACCGCAAATTTAAAGCCAACATGTTATTAGAGTTATTCAAAACGTTTCCAAATGAAATGAATATGTATCGTGCATACCGCCCGGATTCTATTTAAGTGTATTGAGTGCATAAGAAGGCGTTAACTTCTTACGACTTTGTAATTTTTGTATAAGTTAAACAAAAAATGTGTGTACATTTAGATACAGTATTTTAATAAATCCTAGCATACAAATCCCAAGCTTTTGTTTACTTTTCATTGATTTTTTACGTCGCGGGTCCCAAATCTAGCGCAAAACCCCGGGGAGGGATGGTTCGCCTGCTTTGACTACGCAGAGTATACTTGGTCTAAGCCCGGAAGTCGTGGGCTGCTCGAGCCATATGTAAAAGCATCGTTTCTGGCCACTCATAAGTGAATGGCATTCAGTTAGGTGATCGATGAAAATACAATTCTTGTATGGAGGAATATTTTGTATTTTTGAAACGTATTATAGCTTTAAGGTAACCGTTTTCTTTTGTTGTTTGCTGTTTCTCTTGTTTTACGTAGATCCGACTTTCGTGAAAACGATAATCGAACCGTAATTAGAGATGTTTTGTTTTGCTTGATATACAATAAAATTTACCGTTTTCATACAAGAAAGAAACAGGCTTATTTTGGCTGGTTTGTGATAACGTTTAATAAGATTTATACTTTTGATTTGTTATTACAGTTTTTGGTTTTTAGTTTTCATAATACCTGTTTAAAAATTTCTTCTCTTCGAAAGAACTAAAGCACGACGTGATTTGAGAACGGTTTTGAATAATAATAAAATACATCTGTCAGATTGTTGTAATCAGGAATAATTTCACTGTTTCTTGTTTTTTTTTTAATATTTGCAATAATTAATCATGTAGGTAAAGCTTAAATGCATTATTAAGTATGTAATTAAATAGCTTATAATAGGAGATTTTGTAAATATATAAATAAAGGTTTCTACATTGGCTTTGAATAATCATTTCTAAAAATTTCCAGTGCTCACAAACAGTTACAGTTTTAGTTATTTTTTTCACAACATACGTATTTCAAAGAGAGGAGATACAATAACATTGAACATAAATCCACTTTGAATAAGTCAAAAAATTGCATATATTTTTATTTGTGGATTAATCAACAATCTCAAAACAGTAAATTTTACACCCGGCCATACATACGCTATATGGTTGCACATAGTATATTACGTTTTTTGTTTTTTTATTTTTTATTTATATATCAAATAAAATGTATTTATATATTAGCCATAAGGCTTTGGTTTAAATCAATTACTTTCAAAAGTTTTTGAACTATTTTTTTGTTTCATTAATTATATATATATTTTTTTAAGTATAACAAAAAACATTCAATTTGCAGCATCGACGATGGGTAAAAAAGTTTCGTCATCATCATAAACCTATAGCATCACATTTCTTTTGCTTATACGCATTTAATAAAAAAATTTACTGCTGATCACATTGCCCCATTATAGTTTGCGCCTGCGCATTGGGTGGTCATTTATTCTCGCAGCAGCCGTTCAATGCCAACTGCTTCTGCAGAGCGGGCGGTAGCGAATCTTTCGTTTTGGAATGATTGCCTTTACCGAGTAATGTGGGTTCGATAACTTTGCCCTCCTGAATATCCTTGATTCGTTTGAGCAAATCGTAGTTGATGCGATCGCTTACAACAGAGTCTTGTCTGCAAGAGAAAAATTGATATTTAGACGCAAATTAGTACCAATGTTTTATTGGAGTTAATGGTGGGCTGTGTTATATAATTTAACTTAAAAAAATTTTAATTATTTACTCACTTATAATCTGGATGATTTAACACTTGCTCGCGCATCCAAGTAGCAGTTGTGATCAGCTCACCGGAAGCACGCTTCTCTATGAAGCGTAAATACTGTTCAATTGTGCAATGAGTGTCAGGATCAACTTCCATTGATTGCAAATAGCTGCGAATGAGCGGCACGAGACCAGGGAAAGTATCAGCCTGCAATAAGAAATATATCATTTAATTTAATGTATTGCTGTTGTATCACAGAGTTCAATTTTTGCTTACCTTGCCATTGAAAATTTCACCAATTGTCAACAATTCGTATTCCTCATGATTGATTTCGCCATTCTCCTTAGTACCGTTGTGTACGCCATTAACGCCGTTGCCGTTTATGTAGCAGCTCTTTTTAGAAGTTTTGCGGAACCAGAATTTCTCTTTGCGACAAGCGTCACGCTTCTGAGCAGTTTGCATGTTTTCATCAACCTGAAAACAATTGATATTTACGTTTAGTTTAATCACGATTAATTAAAAACATGTTTTTTGGTTCATTATATATGTATATTATATTATTATCGCTTGCTCACCTTACTAATGGGGATCAGGAAATTTAACTGATACGATAGTATCACTCGTGTCAGCAGCACGACAAAGCAAACAATGGCAGCATTTTCAAAGTCACTTATCTGCGCCTCGCATGGCCGGAACTCCACGCGCCAGCCGATCGACGAATTCGGCGGAGGTGGCTTGAAGCGCATTGTCTGCCAATTGGTCGATTGTATATTCTCAAAGTGGTCCGTGTCCTCTTCGTCATTTTGATCGATTTTCTCACTAAACAATGAAACCGTATCGCGTATAAACAAGTGTGCCACATGTTGCGCCAATAGCGGATCAATGCCACCATCACGTAGACGTTTATAATCTTGTTCGTCGTATGTGAGCGGTACGTCGTTATAGGCGGCACCCTCTGGTGATAGATATGAATCGATCGAATCATATCTCGATTTTGCAATACGGAACTTATTTTCACTTAGTGGCCGTAGACCACGCTCCTCCTCGGTGCGGCAGTCTACTGAGGAGCTTATCACATTCCAACGACAGTCGGATTCGGTTAAATAGCCACGATATATGGGTGATGCTGCTGTAAGTGCTAACATAATGGGACACAATGGCGCCAATTGATCATACAATTTGCGTGCCTCATTGATGTTACAGGCCTGGAATGTAAGTTGTAGACAACAACAGCCCATACCGAAGCCCATGGCGTCGAGTGCAACGACATCGGGTTCACCCTTGGGTGCACCCTCTACGGGTAGTTTGGTGTTTACATCTTTGAAAACTTTTAATTTGATGGCGACTTTCTCGCCACGTCGTTTACGTATATTACGTGTTAACGTCTTGAAGCGTGGATGTGCTGGAAATATGGCTTCATCTGGGAAATATAGCGATTTAGCCGAGCTATTCGGATCGTCCGGATTTGGATAGTAGATGGGATGTGTGAATTCCGGTGCGCCCAAACGTGGAAAATTCGTTATGGACATGACACACTCATCTTTGTCCAGTATTTCTGTGACCTCTTCACGCCGATAACGCATATTCGCCTCCACTAGATTAAAATGTGCCATAAGACCGCCAAACGGCCTGCCTGGTGTACCCTCGATCATGTAAGCACCATATTCGGGGCGCCACAACGATTTTACGCCCTTGGGATCGGCTAATTCTTTTTCATTAAGGTGATTGAGTAGTTCTGGCGCTTTCAGTGAGACACGTGCAACACGATTTTCATCGTCAAACTTAACAATTATATATTCAACCTCATCACCCCACTTGAGTATGTCGCCAGTGCGATCCTTTAGCCTGTGATAGAGATTTATAAACTGCGTAATGCCATGTTCACGCACATGATTGGCTAATTTTTTGGTTTCTTCCCATGAGAGTGGACTGCCTTCGCTGAGTAAACCCATTTTAGATGTGAATAACTGCAAGAAACGAACAAATACCTTTTATTAGAATGTGTTATATGCAGGCATATATGTATATATATATATATATATGTGTGTATGTACAAATCTAGCTAAGACTCTACATGGATGTTTGCAAACATGCACACTCAGCTCAGAGCTCAGTTTGCTATTAAGGAAATTTGCAACAGTGGCGCAGGAATAGGAAAACAAGAATGTGATATCTACAATTCCGTGAAGCTGCTACTGCGGCAAGTGTATAAACACATATTTTGTTTACATCTATTCAATGGTACATACAAAATACTATAAACAATCACATACTCTATGCTCTTATTTGATAGAAGAAAATTAGAAACTTGTTTCCGCTCGGACATATGGAAAAACCAGCGATCATTTACACTAAACCTCTCGCTATTATGCACATCTCGCATATATACATACATATGTATGTACTATAATTGATTTAATTGCAGAAAAAGTGCACGCGAGCCGCTTGCAAAATTCCATTGTTGCATTGGGAAAGGCGATGGAGTTAGCAGCGTTAGCGATTATTGTTATACAGATGAACTCATATTTATAGTCAATACCAAAACTGCTTCAAAGTCAATGCGCCTCAACTGGTGCGTGTAAAGTGCATTTCGCCAAATGCATACATACATACAATTGGTGTGAATGAAAGTTTAAGTTTCAGCATCGGAAGAGCATGGCGTATTCGTGAGAACTAAACAAATAAATAAATATCGATTACGTTTTAAGCGGAACAATAAATACATCATTGACAACGACTACTTTTGCATATGTGTGTATGCCCATACGTATGAGTAACGCTGCGAGTGTGTTTTAGTGTAAATCCATGCCCGGCAGATAATTCAAGAGATGTATTTTTGTTGGAAAGCGTTATAAAGGGGCTATTGTTTCACTTGCAAAACAGAAATGCATTTTAGATATTTTAGACATATTTATACATGTTTCAAAAATACAGAGATATTTTTGAAAAAAAAAAAAATATTATTTTTGAGCTATACGAGATATTTGGCGGCTCTGAGGAGAAGGTCGTCCACTGCTGCAGGGATTCCGGCCTTCGCCGTAATTGAAACCTACAAATAACAAATTTCGTTAAACTAGAGATATTCTCCGTACAATAACGCACGATAAAAAATAAAAAAAATTCACTAAATAGAGGCATTTAAAAAATAAAAAGTTGAATGTCAACCGAAATTTTGGTCGTTTTTGGCCTTAAAAAATTAGATCAAAAATCCGATAGGTCAATGTATATAGAATTATAGGCAGATTGAGTAATCATTGCAGCAAACTCGAAAATCGCGTTTAAAGATAAATTGATGGAGCTGTTTAAACGGAGCGGCTGTACTTAAGCCGACTATCGCTCAAAAACTATTTGAGATATCGATTTGAAATTTGGTATTAAATTTTTAAGAATATAAGCTATCGAAATATGAAAAAACAAAAATCGATTTTTTMAAAAAAAAAAAAAAAAAACCTCTTTGTAACCCTTTAAATGAAGCGTTAATGGCTACAAAGGCAATTTCTATACATTTTCCATATTTAGCTTAACTTATATACACTTTAAAGCTGAGAAATATTTTTCGAAAAACTTTTTATAACTTTAGTATCTGTTAAAAACGGGCAAAGGGATTTCTGACCGAATTACATTAACGGACCAACCAGTTCTTATTGCAGTCAAGGCGTACAAAGCTGAAACGAGCATGCTTTCTACAACCAAAGACTCTCAATTCGGTGTTATTCCTAACATTATGAATTGGAAAACGACTTTTAACATTAGGAAAAATTAAAATTCGTTAATGTCTTTCAAAAGTTATAATCCTTCAAAGATTAAAAGTTCTGCCAAAAGCACATTTTTGTTTGTTAAAAAACAAAAAAAAAAAAAACAATTGTTTGGCACTAGCGTCACAAGAAAGGAAGAAACAAACGTACAAATTAGCAAATATTTTTTAATAACTTTAATTTTGAAGTAAACAACAAAACAATTGTTAATATCCGTTACGTATATGAATAAATGTGTTTACTTTCCTTATGACATACGACAAATGTATACATACATATGTATGTATAGTATATGAAAGTACATATCTGGTGTTTTTCTATGAAATAATTTTTTACTAAATGTAAATACGAAAGAGATATCTTTACTACGTTTTAATTATTAACAATAACACAATTTTGCAATAAAATTTTTGAAATTAGGCTGATTTGTGCAACCTTATTGAGTTGAAAAGTTTTCGCAAGTCATAAATATGCTTCGACATTCAGTACATACATATACGAGTAGTATGTATGTACATACATAAATACATATGTAGGTTTCACAACAGTTAGGGGTTTGAAAGGTCGATTAGGTCTGCAATTAACGGTTAATAGTTAATAGTACGCACATGCCCAAAGCCGACCAGTTTAGGCGCTAATGGAACAAGTATTTAATCAATTCAAATTTGTTTGGTTCAATTATAGGGTGCCTGTTATTATCTGCATACAAACACACATGCGCATGACCTTGAATAGCATACAAGTATGCATATATAAGTATGTATATAGATATGTATATTTAGAAATATGCACATTATTGCTTTGTATGATTGATGTGTTTCAGTATGATAAGAATTACAAGTAAAACACATTGCAACAAACGTTAATTAGCCAATTTTGTTTTATTTGCATTTGAATAACTTACTGTTGACGAATAAATTTTTTGATAATATCATTTGAACATTGTAAAATGATAATTTTAAATCAGCCGAGCGTCAAATACAATTAATGACATGTGATTTGTGATTTGTGATTTGCTGTTATAGCTGTCTATGTTGGTGAAGTGACAGATTTTGTGCAGTTGCCAGCGTAAATAAAATAGAGGTTTAAAAAAAAAACTTGCGATTACGGCACATTTGCCGCAACATTACATATATATTACTAAATATTTATAAAATATATATATATACATGCATATATTAGTATGTTCTTCCGCAATAATTAATGTTCCGGAACAACAATATACTGCCAGATTCCATAAGAGCATACTAAAAATGTCTACATATGTATGTACATATATATGCACATTCTAATTAAATTTACATATGTATGTATGTATGTATATGTACATAGTTCAATTAATTTGCTGAAATAGCGACTCAACGAATCGACAATATCGAGAAGAAAATTGTCTAATTGTATGCGGCATACAAAAATACAGACGTACACTCAAATGCAGCTAGCATGAGGTTCAAGCAGACTGGCAGTACAGTGTTGAGTATAAGGCGAACACAATCACTGAGGTTCCATGCATGCATTCTAAATAATACGAGAATACAACTTATTTATGACCAGAAGAGGATATTTTAAGTTTGCCGCGATTGCCTTTAAAATATATATGTACTGTACGTATTAAATTTCGTTCGGCATCTCGAAAGCTAAAAAACTTCGCTTTCTATATTTTTGATAACATTGACCCATATTTTCGATAAAAAGTTCACCGTGCTCCATATATTCGGTACCTGGAGCTTTGAACACTTTTGGCCCGATATGGGTCACAAGTTGATATACTTCACATAGAGCTTTCATCCAAAGTTGTATCTTGTTATATCCATTGGTGCTTACTTTGAATACAGGGAAAGTGAAAGACACAGATCGAATTTAAAATTGTGTTATATGAGAAGTAGGCTGGTTGTAGTTCGATTCGCAGCACTTCATACTGTAACTTAGCAATGCTAAGAAAAAGCTATTTGTCGAATTTACTTTAAATCAGTCGAGCAGGTCCCGAGATATGGCTTCTAACTTCAATGTGGACGATGCCGCGCCTATCGTCAAGTTTTGACAGCGGCTCCTATAGAACCCGCTTTTATGATCTCGAGTGCAAAATTTTATGTTATTGACATGTTCAATAATTGATTTATCATGCCTCTGGTAATTTTTAACAGAATCGTTATATGGGGAGTGAGCGGGGTTATCATCCGATTTCTCCAATTTCTACAATGTTGGCAGGTGTGTTCACTGAATTTCACCTGAGACATTTCAAACGGCGAGACTATACCCTTTTTTTCAAAATTTGTTTCCCACAGGTGTCTCTTGTTACTGCGACCCCCGTGTCAAATTTTAGCTCTACATATATCTTAATTTATTTACGCTGCCGAGAAACATATGTAGTTTCATCAAGGTCATTATCAAAAAAAAAAAAAAAATATATATATATATATATTTAATTCGTGGAAGTTGAAAAAAATTACAGGTGTTCAAAAATGAGTGAAAATAATGTAGAAATTCGCTACACCTAATAGGTTGTCAAATATCTCCCTTCCGCTTCTGTGCTCTTTACTCAATGCTCTATAAAAAGTGTTACAGTGATCGGATTTAGTTCAAATATGCGCCGTTTCGTTCAATAATCTGTTTCCGTCTAGATGGCGACTTCAGAATACCCCCCTCGTAGAAGCCCCCCGTCCTTATTTGCGAAGAACTCGGACAGCCACTTTTCACAAGCCTCTTTTGAGTTCAACTTTACACCAACAAGGGCATTAGCCATGGACAGGAACAGGTGGTAATCACTTGGCGCTATGTCCGCGCTATATGGTGGATGCGATAAAACCCCCCATAGCTTCTAACGAGTCCTGTTGGCCAGCTGGTTGGAGCAGCTTATAGTGGATGATTACCTTTCAATCCCACCAAACAAATAGCAAAACCTTCCTGGCCGTCAATCCCACCTTGGCCACTGTTTAAGACGATTCACCGGCCTTCGACCACAACCTTTTTCGCTCGATATTGTCGTATGTGATCCATTTTTCGTTGCCAGGCACCAGCCGCTCCAAGAATGGGTCGAGTTCGTTGCGTTTCAGCAGCATATCGCAAGCGTTGATTCTGTCCAGAACGTTTTTTTGCGTCAAATCAGGCGGCACCCAAACATCAAGCTTTTTTGTGTATCCAGCCTTCTGCAGATGGTTTAATATGGTTTGCTGACTAACTCCCATCTACTGGGCGATGTCACGAGATGCCAC